TGGAAATTTTAATTGATTTTTTTTGGTTCAACACTTGTCATGCCCATTAAAGAACACATTTCTGTGTGGATTTTACTGAAAAAGGTTGATTTAAAGCATGAAAGATTTACATTTTCAGTTTCCATGGACTCTCAAGCTAAGGATATCTCGATACTTTTTCTGTACTCCGGTACATTTTTGAGAACCAGTACTTTTACTCTACTCCAGTACTTTTTATAAAAGTACTTTTCAGTATTTTTAAAGTACATTTTGAGTACTTTTGAAGCTTAATGAAAGGGTAAGTGCCACATTTCTGATCATAATTTACGGAGCAAACACCCCGGCCCGGTGGACACAGTCGATCAACCAAGAGTTAAAAGTTGAGATCAAAGAACGGCCCGTTGCGTCAAAGATCAGCCACTCTCGTGAATGTGATCACAAGCGTTGTAAAACTCGATGAAATGGTACAAAGTTTGCTCCAGACGGGATCACACCGAGGTGTGAACTGACCGATGATTGTTTTCCCCAACCATCGCACTCGCATCTGAGCTTGCCACCTAACTTACATCACTCGCTTGGTGGGTAGGGCCTACAAGTTCGCTCCAGGCAGGATCACATCGAACTGTGAACTCTTCCCTGACCATTGAAGGCAGTTTTTCTCTATTCCCGAATTTGCGAGACAGCCTGAATTTTAATTGGTGTGGTCACAGCGTAATGGTGCATAACGACAAGGGCGGGGGGACTCAATCAGAGATGGAAAGCTAAAATTTTGAACAGGTAAAAGGGAGGGGCAACTGGATAAATGTAGATAAAGATTTCGAGACTCACAGTGACAATAGGCTAATGAGTGTATATGGTATGCCTCATGCCACTGTGATTGTTCATCAAGGTTGACTACTCTATGCTCGCCATATGTCATAAACCCACCCAGGGGTCACGTCAGTTCATGCATCACTGTAGATTGTTCCTTGGCTTTGTCGGCTAAGTTCCTGTATTTTCCTTGCTCCCGAGCACTGGGATCTTAGGCGGAGACCACTGTAGTAGAGAATCTCTGGTTACACTACACTTACTAGACTCTATGAAACTACATGTAGTTTGGTTTGCCATGGGCGCTGTGGACTACAGAGTGTCATCAAAATCTGTGTTACCACTATTATTAATTGAAACTGAAACTGAGTTCTCAATTTTTTAGGCTACTTAAATTTCTTTTAAACTTTTTTTGGGTGGTTTTTGCTTGAGGCTTCATTGGTTCCTTGAGGATTTGTTAATGAAGAATTCAATGCACTTTTCCATTTCTTTGCTGGCCATTTTCATAAATTTTATGTTTTCTTAAGAGCAACTTTGTCTCTACGTTTTCCAATTTGGATACTTTTCCTGTGAACTTTCCGACCCCTTGGACTGACTTACATTTGATCACATTGTCTTGCTCAAACAAGTTCTGTTCATAATATCTCTTACTCACTAGTTGCATCTGTTTGTTTGTTTTTTTCAATTTCACAGACCATTTCCATCTACGTTCAGTGCGTATATTCTAATGTTTTGTATGCTGTTTACATTTTTAGTAATAAATGGCCTATTTTGTCAAATATACTGGATATGTTATTCTATATGATGTTTTGCATTAGCACTGAAGTGTTTTAGCAGATTCGATCATTAGCAGAAAGTACTCAAAATGTACTCATAAGTACTTTTTAAAAAAGTACTTTTACTCAAGTACATTTTACAGGGAAGTACTTTTACTGTACTTAAGTACATTTTTTAGATTGTACATAAATTTGTACTTAAGTACCTTTTTAAAAGCACTGTAGTAGCTCTGGGATATAACTCAACTTTGACGGCCATTTTCTTGCTAATTTTACCTCTGAAACCAGACGACCCCCATCTCCTTCAATCGCCATCATTTTGATTTTTATCCAAGATAAATTGATATTTTTCTCATCAAATGCAAGGCAAATGGACAGGCTTTATTAAAAGGATACCAATAACTCCATATGCCCAAAGATTGACGAGCGCCTGATTCCACTGCGTCGTGACTCATTAATATGCATTTGCAGAGGTTCTTATTTTAGAACACTCTTAATTTTGACGGCTATGGATTTTTTGTTGTTGATTTCTCTCCAAATTTGGATGCAAAACAACTGGTTTTGAGCATGATTGGACAATTAATAGACCTTTGATTATTACTGTACCGTGCTTGTCTTTTTCTAAAGAAGTGAGAATAAGTATAAGTCAATAAGTGAGCAGTGGTACGTGAAAGACGAATCCCCCAGTTCATTTCACTGGTGAATACGAAACTTGATTTTTTAAAGGACTGAAGATGACTACAATCAGTATATAGTTGGATTCGTCTGATGGTTTTGACAGTGACAGCAGGATGATTCACTTTTTTGAGTGGGCGTGATGAAGATGTTATCTTTCTTACCCCACAAATCACAGATATTTAAACAAATACAGTCAAACCTCTTTGTACCGCCGCCTCCGTTGTACTGCTAGCCCTACTTACTGCTAGGTTTTTTTCAATGTTATGAAAAGGAATGCCTATTTACTCACAGTATTTGTGTCTTCACACCTCCATCTGCCAACTGTCTGAATTGTATGGTCTTTATCAAACTAATGTAAATTTGCCCAACATACCACCAGAGGTACACATCACACAGTACACGGCACCCATAGGTGGCTGCTTGATAATCTTTTTTCCAACACACAACTGTACGAGCTCGGCGTTTCTAGCGTTTGTAGTCAATTTGCTTCTGATTATGGTAAAGCAATTATTTTAAGGGTTTGACAAATGTTTAAAAAGCGAAATTGGAATTAAATTTTAGTCGCCTGGAGAAACTTCAGAGGAACTGGGCCAAAGGAATGGCTTGTTATCTGCTGTAATAACTTTTATAAGTAATGGAGAAAGCCATGACTTGTGTGTACATTTTATAGTGATCAGGGGAACTTTATTTCTCAACTAGCTGTACAACCAGGGAGGCTGACATTGATTAGATATCACGCCTGTGGTTCATCATCATCATCAATGCCTTTCACCCCTGGCAGGGTATAGGCCACATACAAGCTCCTTCCATTTATCTCTATCCTGGGCCATCCTTCCTAGCTTGTTCCAAGTGAGTTCCATCTCTCTCATGTCCCTTTCCACACATCTCCATGTCTCTCGTGGCCTACCCCTGCCTCATGCTCCCTGTGGGTTCCATTGCAGTGACTGTCTTGTGATGTTTTCGCAGGGCTTTCTGAAGGTGTGTCCCAGCCAACACCACTTTTTTAGTCCTATTTCTACTTCTATATCCTTACCTGGAAGTTTGTCGATCACACTCTGCAGGCGGTTGTAGAAGTCGTCTTTATTCTCCACTTCTGCATCATTGGTTGGGACATACACTTGTATGATGTTCATGGTAATGACCTTCTTCTTACCATCTCTTTCCTTGAGTTCTTTTTTAGTTCCAAATGAGGCCATGATGATTCTTGGACCGTGCGCTTCCCAGCCCCCAAATGTCTTTTGCGCTGTTTTGGCTATGATCATCCCTACTCCTTCCCTGTGTGGCCCATCACTGTCTTTTCCTGAATAAAGGAAAAGCTCCCCCTCTTTCATTCGCTTTTGTCCAGACTAGTTCAAGTGGGTCTCCCTGATTCCCAGTATGTGTAGGTGGTATCAGTGCATTTCTTGGAGGACCTGTGCAGTTTTTCCAGCCTCATAAAGGGTCCTAACGTCCCACGATCCAATCTGGAGAGACTTGGACTTGGATGATGGTGGAGGCTTCTGCCTAGCAGCTTCCTTTCGGCTTTCACTGACCTCATAAACTCTCCGTTCGGAGAAAATCCACCAGCCAGGCAGAGATAATGGTTTTTGCTTGTATGTGTTTCTGTAACAAGTTCTTTTTACGAGAGAGGTTGTTAGCCTCGTGACTCAACCCCTGACCTGGAGGGAGGATGACTCTGTTTCGGGAGTCACTACCTAGTTTCGCCATTTAGTCGCCTCCTACGACAGGATAGCACCACGTCAGTCCTGTTCTTTTCAATGCCGGGACTGCACGGCTAACACCTGTGGTTACTCAAGGAAAATTTCTATGCCAGCATGCCACCTGATCACTTTGAGGATAAGCAGTGGTCAAATTTCACACCCACACCAACCAGACTATCTGCACTGCTCAGGGTTCACATGGATGGGGTAACTGTGATGTAAAGATTAGAGCCAATGGAACCAGATTTAGTTAGAAGTTTGTTTGGAAACAGGGCTGGGCATGAACAGCATTTTCTGCCTTCAACATCTCAGAATCCCCTGAAGTGAAGGGATTTCTTTGAGTTTTGGGTTGTGATGGTTTCCCTTTTCGCCAAATTATGGAGGAATTAATCAAGGGTGGGGGGGGGGGGGGGGGGTGAGGTTTTGTCACACCAGCTTTTTGTTTTGGATGGGTTCCAGCATGGCAGGTGCGACTATATATATATATATATATATATATATATATATATATATATATATATATATATATATATATATATATATAGAAAAATGCTGGTGATAAATATAAAGGTGCTACTTTTTGACTGTGTATAAAAATCTGGTCTTTTGAGTTTTTACACTTTTACTTTGATGTGAGTAATGCTAAGTACTATCATATGAAGGTCATAGTAAAAAACATTTTGATGCTTCAATTAGTGTTCACAGCACTTTTTCAACAAATAAGAAAATTGGCATATTTTTTTCCTGACCACATGACAGATAAAAACATTTTTTTGTTTCTTTTATGAAGTTTAGATATATATATTTATCACAAACCCAGCCCCAAAGACCCTTCGAATCTTTTATGTAGAGCCGATCACAGACTTTGATCTTCAGAGCCCGCACAGGACACTTACACACCAACAAGCACAAACAGAATCAACCCCATGTGGGAACCCCATTGCAGACATTCTGACTACCTCGAGGAGATCGTTGAACATCTTCTCCTTCACTGTCCAAACCTGGCAGTTCTTCGCCGCAAGCTCCTACACACACCTACAGACTTACAAAGCCTCCTCTTCTCTGGCGTTGACCAGATGACAAGGACATGTGGTTACTTGAGGGAGGCATTGCGCTGCCAAGGGCGAAATGTTCGCAGCTAAAGGGGTTTGAAAACAACAACAGCATCAAAAACTGCAACACCATTTGATTATTGTCACCCAAGAAAGGTCATAGGTTTAATTTTTCTTCGAAATAATGAAAAAATTGAGCTAAATCTTTTACAGAAGAGTATTTTTGTTGTTGAAATGTGCCAATTTTACTTTTCTTCTTTTTTTTTTCTCTTATCCTTCCCCAGATTGTCATTGACCTGATTTGTCCATATGCAAAGAGCTGGTTATACCAGAGGCAATGGTATGTCTATGGATGGCGGACCGTAGCAGTCAACTCTGTCAAAATGCCCATATTTTTTATTTTACCATTTATTTTGTGGGTTTTTTGCTCCATTTTTTGAAAGATTAAAAAAAAAGAAATAAGTATTATTTCTCTTAGAACAAATGAAACATCAACTTGATTGATGGACTTCATATTTGGAAATGTGCACATTTTTTAAACTCAGGTTTATGATTATGAACTAGTAAATGTCCTAAGATTGATTGTCTGAAGAAATTTTAAAATTTAGCTTATGTTTTTTTGTGTTTTGAACTGTTGAGATGTTCCTTTTTTCAACTAATGTCACAGTAATGAAAGTTCCTGTCTGCTTTGACTTGTCCATTTAATTGCTGATGGATTTGTTTTTGATTCTGGAGATTTATTAATTAAATATGAAGAATGCACATACATTTACATAATATTATATAAACTCATAATCTTTGAAGTCTAGATTGTTGTTGGAGTGTGTTACTCATGATTGTTAAATTTCTGTTTCCCCAGGAGCTGGACCCGCCACACAGCATTGAGGTTATCACGGTGACCACCACATCCAACCCAGGCAGTTCAGGCAGGAGCGTCATCCCTCTACAGATTGAGCTGGAGAAGTTCCCTACGCAGCAAGAAATTGAAGGTCATGACAATAAAATGCGCCGGCCGGTTCGGCCAATTGACCGACAGCGAATGCGACCATGGCTGATGGAACTCTTGGACCTTAACAATGTGTTTGGCTTGAGATGGACCAATCGTCATCAAGGAATTTTTCAGATTTCATGGCGCCATGCTTCAAGACTTGGTTGGAACCTAGAAACTGATGGTGATGTTTTTGAAAGATGGGCAAGGCATACAGGTGGGGCTTGCTTGTTGATAGGGTACTCTAAATTGTCACTTGTGCTGTTTTTATAAAATCTCCAGGTTTATTTTCAAGTCAAGGAAATATTGTAATACATGTATTAGTGAAATGTTTCAAAGATTCTAAGAAAAATTTGGAGAGTGGTGTTGACTCCTCCTGATTACTTGGTTAGCTTTGGAAAAATGAATGGCCTAGAACGGTAATATAGAAAAGAGCTCAAGAAAACTAATGTGAGGCCGCGTGGTGAAATCAGGCGCTCGTCAAAATAATGAAAGTCAAGAAATTGGCATTTTTCTGCAGGTTTGGGAATTTTTATTGAATTTTTTTTTTGGCTCAACACCTTTCATGCCCAGTAAAGAACACATTTCTGTATGGGTTTTACTGAAAAACGTTGATTAAAGGCAGAAAAGATTTACATTTTCAGTTTTCACTGACTCTTAAGCTAAGGAAATAACTCCACTTTGGTGGCCATTTTACCCCTGAAACCGGACACCCCCATCGCCTTCAATTGCCAATAGCTTGATTTGCATCCAACATAAATGGATAATTTTTTCATCAAAAGCAAGGCAATTGTACAGACTTTAAGACGATACCAATAACTCCATATGTCTCAAAATTGACAAGCGCCTGATTCCACCACGTCATGACACTAATAATATGGAACAGTTAGTGAATATTCCAGTAAGAAAAATGTTGTGATATGATTTTGGGGAGTCAAAAAGGAAACTGCCTTGGGGGCTGAGCAGTCATCTCTTCACATACCTTCCCATTGAGCCCTAAAAATGCTCAAATGTCAAAGTATTCTCTTTTTTAAATTCTTTTCCTTGAAGGAGATTGCACTATCTTAACTCTCCCATACCTTTAACGAATCAAACTCTCATTTGATTTCAGATTGTGTGAAGTTTCTGCTTAGTTTATGATTGTAGATCCTTTCAAAAATTCAGTTTCTTAGTTTTTAGAATCAGTGCTCTTTTCATGTTTTAATCGGTGTCATGCCAAAAGACTACTCTCTTTTACAGAGATTCATTTATAACAACAGTCAACAAATTAAGAACAGAGGCCCTTGGTTTTGGAAACATTGTATGCTAGTTATTTTGCCTCACAAATCACAACCTGTTATTTGCAGTGGTGACTATTTTGTCAGTGGCTTGTACACCCTCAGTTTTAATTGTTTTTAACTTTCATTTTCTATGAATTGTCCCTGGTGGTCGTAATGAATGTCACCTCATTAATTTTTTGAGTGAAAATGGTTTAATGCAACAGTTTTGAACATATTAATGTTTTCCTCAACCTGCCCTATCGTTATTCATTCTCAAATCTCTAAGCTGTGATCAAAGGAGAAAGAAAAGAACATGGCTTTATCGTCATAATAAAATGGATTACTTGTTTTGAAAAATAGTATGCTATTGAGACAAAAAGCGAATGTTTCTCTTGAAACAGGGATCTATAAAGAAGGAGATCCACCAGAACCAAAGCGCTGGAAAGCCAACTTTAGATGTGCTCTACACAGTTTGAATGATGTTGTTGAGCTGACCAATGCTGTTGAACGCAGAGGCCGGAATGCTTGCAGGACGTACAGGTTTCTGCAGAGTGGTGATGACCAGGTGTTGGGACGGAAAAGAGCAAAGGCAAAAAGTAAGCCTATTTTCATGTTACAGAGGTCCTTATCCATGTAGAGTAAAAATTGCATCCAACAATATTCAGGTCTTTCATTCGATTTGTTGAGTTCACAGTTTTGATGAATGCCTTATTTAGAGTCCATCTTGTTGCACTGTGATGTTTTTAGAAGGGAAGTTGTTAGGGGACTGTACAGTCCCCGTACAGTCCCCTATTGCTACCCACTGGAGGACTGTGCAGTCCCCTAGCGCTGTTTTGTGCTCTGGGCGACTGCAAAGAAACAACCTTTGACCTTTGGATCGAGATCAACAAGCCATCATCGGACAGATCTAGATTCTACTGATACATTAACTAGATCTAGATGGAGGGAGAATCTAGATCTAGATCATTTGAGGCGAATTTATCGTTTATGGTGACAGGTTTGATGATCTATCTAGATCTAGATCTAGGAGTACTAATGACATAGACTGTAGACTATACTACATGGTAGGTCTACTCTTCTTCAATTTACAAATGTGCAGTCTGTGTCTATAATATTTAAGCCTAGACCTAGATGTGGTTTAGATCTAGATCTAGGCCAAGTAGAAAGCCTAGTATCAGTACTAGTAGTACTACCAAAGATTCTCTACTTCCATGGTACTGCAATCCTTCGTTGGGCTTTCAGTGTGAGTATTCGCACCCGGGGTGAGAATACTCCACATAAAAGATCTATATTATTCTCACCCAGTTTTTTTCGTTTCCGCCCTTTTTAGATCTAATCTAAATCTAGATCTATTTCGGTTTTTGTACAGTCCCCTAACAACTTCCATTGCAATATCTTGGAAGAAGAGAATCTTTGGTAATACTAAACTAGATCTAGGCCTAGATTTTAGATATTATAGACAAAGATTGCTATTTTTTAAATTAAAGAAGTGTAGGCCAACCATGTAGTGTTGTCTATACAGTGTACATCATAAGTAGTACTACTACTACTATATCTAGATCTAGCCTAGACATTTGCCTTTCACAAAAAACTGTGGATGACTCTAACATACTCATTAATTTAAAAAAACAGAACATCATAGCTGCTAAAAACATCGCCAACAGTCAAATCAGACATGTTGTCTATTTGTCATGGGAGGAAATGTAAATGTTGTTAACCCTCGTCCTGCGGGGGCCGGGTTTATGTCGCCCGATAAGCCTATTTCGGCACCTCGCCTTCGTTCTGGTCCCGAATCCGTGTAGCTCCTGGATCAGCGCATGCGCACCGCGCATCATCTTACGTGAAATTTGGGTCCCGAGTCGGATCTCCATTTATACAGGTCAAGTGTGCGCGCGTCAGTCTGCTTGAGTTTGTTTGCGTTTGTGGCCTTCTTCTAGAACCGCCTGCGTTGGTTCGTAATCGAGGCATACGTCTCATTCAAAACACGCCAAGTTGGTAGATCTAGGATGTTCGTCCAATGAAATTATAGAACAAAATTGACCAACTTAGACATGAGGAGCTCGAAAGGATAGTCAGGAAACAAGACTTTCACAAACTATACAAAATCTTTCAAATGAGCTTGATTTTGTATGAAATGATACTACCTGATAAAAAATAAGCTTGTTTGATAGTTATGAATACCATTGTGCAGGTACAAAGAACAATTTGAGTGCAAAACATTAGGAAATTGACCTATATTATCCCCTTTCGAACCGCAGGTCATTCATAACAACAAGAGCGTCCAGAAAGGTTATTCGAATGGGTGTAACTACTCGTAATGTCTTATCAGCTTGTGAGAGGGAGTTATTCATGTATTTGTAACACTTTATAATAGAAAGCTATGAAAGATAGAGCGTTATTTTCATCATCGATTAACACACTCCCACGGTATTCATGGTGAAAACACACGTTTCACGGCACACGCGCTGTACACCAACAGTGCACTCTGAATGACCCTGAAGGCCTGCCCGGCACGTCCGACGTAATCGGTTGCTGATAAGATTCGCTTCTCAGCACAGATGCAGGACAAGAGTTAATGTCTAATGATGGCTTGTTGGCCTCGATCCAAAGGTCAAAGGTTGTTTCTTTGCAGTCCCCCAGTGCCAAAAGCAGCGCTAGGGGACTCTGCAGTCCCCGAGTGGGTAGTGCTAGGGCCCCTAACAACTTCATTTTAGAAAATAGCCTAATTTTGTGCCCCATTTTGGCTTTGCCAATTAAAAATAGTTAAGTTTTTAAAGAAAAATATTTTTTTCTCATTCATGCCCTTGCAAATCTGTAGAACTAGCTTGTGATGAATGCCTCAGATTTGTAAAAGTGACTGATACTCTAAACTTAATCGATTTTAGAATCAGCAGTAGGCAAACATGTTTATCTTACTTAACTCATTTAACAATGTTTAGTTTCCAACTGTGACCTGTCACTGAAAAACCAATACCATCCTTGGATGGCACACACAGAGACAACAATGTGGAGAAAATCTCACCTCCATCAACATACTCTCTGCAGCTGTTATTCCTGTCACCAGGTCTGACTAACCTGTACCATGAGTGTACTATACTATACTCCTTGGGTGAAATCAGAAATTGTGCTTAAGAAAAAATGCTGAGAGACCACTCCGCTGGGCAGCTTGCATGATGTAATTACTTACTGCTCGTATTTGTTTTAGTTTTTTTTTCTGCACAAGAATATTTTGTCTGCAGGTTGTTGGAAGGTGCCACTTTAAGTGGCTGCTATTGTGTCGATGTGCTTCTCTTTACTTGAACGAAACTGTTTTTCATCTGGGTGTGTGTGTGTGTGTGATTAGTAATATAGAAATGAATCTTTTTCTTCCTTGTTCCATTTCCCCCCCCTGTAGTGTCCTGCAAAATGTTAAGTTTAAATGAATGATTCTTCTCTAACCACAGAAGCTAGAGAGGCCAAGCTGTCGGCCTATGAGAGAAGCCTGAGAGAGCCAGTGAGGCAGGTTGTAGTGGAGTCTGCATCCAGTGAAGAGCTGCTGTCTGAGGGAGAGGCTGAGGAGACCACACAGGACAAGGTGAGGATTGGATTTCGATTTTCTTAAAATTTCTGGCAATGGGGTGAGGATAGAATCTAAGCACAATGGTCTATGTCTAAGATCATGCTGTGTAAAAAAAAACTTGTCCACCGAAGAACCTGTTTTAGAATGTAAAGAAATTTCTTTTTTTATGACTTACAATTGTAAGAACCTTATCTAAAAATAAGAATCTGCTTAAAAAGCAGTTTGTCCAGAGAGTAATACACTTTCCAGTTTTCATGGGTCTAGTACGATAATAATTTTATGAAAGCAAAAAGGCTCTCTTTGAAGTCGGAAATTACACATCATCATCATCAGTGCCTTTCTCACCCTGCACTAGGGTACATGTCACGAACAAACACTTTCCACTTTTTCTATCCTATGCTAGCCTTTTGATGTTATTCCTTGTCTTCCCACTTTTCTGCACATCCATTTTCTGTGATTCCTCTCCAGGGAAATTACACACTGTATTTTAATAAAGTTGCACAGTTCAATATGTTGGCGGGGAGGGGGGGGGGGGGCAGTGAATGAGCTGAGAGCAAGTTCTTGGCACATTCACACAGATCGTCTATAGGCACTAAGGTTATGAAGTGGGTTGACCAACCACTAATGTATGTTTGATTAATCTAGACAAGTGTTCCTCTCAGGAAGCTTGCATGTAGAAGCTGGATGGTGTCAATAAGAACTTAATTTTTTTTTGTCTCGCCTGATGAACAAGTTCTCAGGCAGAGATCACTCTTCTGTACTGCTCTGTTTCTGATTTGATAGTTTGTCCTTTTAAAAAATAAAAGTTGTAAACTTTATAAATCCTCTGTCAAAACTAGGGAACCATCAGCCTTTTCAGTCATACGAGCAAAGTGATGCTGAGAATAATCCTGAACAGAATGCAACCACAGGCGGAGGAGAATAGAGCCGAAGAGCAGGCTGGTTTTCATTGTGAAAGAAGTACCACAGAATGGATTATGAACATCAGAGTTCTGTGTGAGAAATACAGTGAACACCAGCAAGACATCTACTACATCTTTATTGATTTTAAAAGGGCGGTTGATGAGGTGTGGTATGATGCATTATAGGCTATAATAAACAAATACAACATGGACCAAAAACTGAATCACACTATCAGACAGCTGTACACAAAGACCAGCAGTGCACTACTTGTGCAAGGCACAGTGGGCGACGGGTTCCTCTTATCAGTATGAGTCCACCAGGGCCACCTCCTCTCAGGGACCTTGTTCAACATCTTCCTTGAACGCATAATGACTGGTGCCGTTGAAGAACATCAGGGCACAATCAGGATTGGTGGCTGGACTATCATCATCAGTGCTTCCAGTATTTCCGCAAATTAGCAGATTTCAGCAAATAGAAAATTTTCCGGGAAAATTTGTGCCCCCCCAAAAAAAATTAGTTAAAAATTATTTTTTTAAATGCGAAATAAAAAAATTTCCCCAAATTACTAATAGTCAACAATAGCCAACCCATACCGAAAGTGCTCTTTTATGTAAAAGTGTAGACATTGTCTTTCACTTTCACTTTCTAAAGCACAAGAAGCAGAGCACCAGCACTGTAAACAAGAGGAAGAAATGTGGTTCAATAGATGTTGGGCCTGCCAAGAAAAAAAAACTCTAAAGAGAGCTTGGTTTTTTTTTATCAGACTTGTTTATTTGTAAATATTGTTGTGGATTTAAATTGAATATAAGCTGTCAAGTTATTTAGATCTAGATCTAGCTGTTATAAGGATTCTACATGTTTATGGTGCAGCCCAACACAAGCAGAAAAAAGTTGAACATTACCTTTCAAGTTTTATAGATCTAGCTGTTATACAGTCCGTGCTGGTTTTAAGCATGCCGGCTTTAAGCACGTTTCGGACTCAAGCACGCTAAACGGCTCTTACCGAATTTTTGCTATATAAATTACATGCCTTTAAGCACAGTAACTTCGGCTAAAGGCACGCTTCATTTTCAAGACTGTCAATATTTTCATGATGACCCATCGAAGTTCGAACCCACTCGACACCGCAGCAGTGGAGTGTGTTAAGGCTAAGGGAAACACAAAAAATGCTAGTGATAGAGACACACACTCACACGCGCGGAGAGGAAGGCAGGAGAGATGCACACAGCCGCGCGCGTGGACATAGGATATAGTCTAGGACAAAGCCACACACGACCAAAAAAAATACAAAGAGAGTCGGGGAGAAGAGAAAGGGAGGCTGGCTGTGATTTCGCCTTTGACCCTCGCTATCCATTAATCCTGACAGATTGTGTATCACGCGCGAGGTGGGATGAAGGCGGTGGTATGAATGTCGCACAGCGGGCAGTGGTACGCACAGGCAGTGTGTAGTGTGTTGGCCTAGTGTGCTGTATCGTGACTGGCTGTCTAAATCAAGCTTTCATTTCCCATTGGACCACAAAACAAAAACGAACAAGCAAACAAAAACTTCCATGGCGGGTGTAAAAGACAGTGCACACTTTTGCGGGACCGCTATAGGCCTACTTACAAATAAAGGGAAATAGCACGGGAAATTTTCAACATGAAAATCTCTGGATTATGTCTACTTCGCACTCAAGCACGCTTCAGTGTTAAGCACGCTTAAGCTTTCTCCCGATGACCGTGCTTAAAGCCGGCTTGGACTGTACTACTGTTATGAATGTACAGTACCGGTACAAGGGAGAAACCACGGCCTTGGATATATTATATGGATTAACACAAGCATAAAATTATGTATGCAAGGTATGTTTTTTCTCACTTATTTTCTTGTTAAATTTAGGCTTGAATAGCCAGAAATGGCATACTTAGGATGCCCTGAAGCAAAAAAATATCAAAACTCTCTGCCAGGGCGCTGCCCTGGACCCGAAAGTCCTAAAAAAATGACATCAGCTGCTGGAAGCTCTACATCATGAACCTTTAGTTTGCTGACCACTTTGATGGGCTGGAGGGAGAAGTACAAGAACTTACCAATCTGGTGAATTGTCTGGACAAGACATCTGCCAGATATGACATGTAGATCGGTGCCAAAAAGAAGCTCATGACAAACAGCGCAAAGCATATAGAGAAGAAAATCACAGTCTGTGGACAGAAACTTGAAACTGTGAATCACCTTGGAGCGATGCTTAATGAAGACTGCTCAAAAACCTAAGTCCTGGCAAGAGCAGCACAGACAGCAGCAGCAATGGCAAAACCGAAACCAATGTGGAGAGACAATCCATAAGTCTGTCAGCTACATTGAAGCTACTGCATGTAGTAGTCTTGTTAATCTTTTTATTTGCATGCGATGCATGGAGACTAACAGCCGAACTGCAGAGAAAAGTCTGTATTTTTTGCTGCAGTTCACATATACCACTAAAACTGTTGCCCAGCAACCCCCTTGATTGATCGGAAGCACTAACAATTACTGTGCAGTTATACTTAGCCTAATTTAGTATGAATAAACAACATATTGTCATCTTGTCTAACATTGCAAGAAATTACCATGGTAGCTAACGAGAAAAGATAACGGTGACCCAAAATGTTGCAAATGGAAAGTGGTGATTTCTTGATATGCGTATTGGGTCGAGTACGGAATGTTCTATTGACATCTGCCTTGGTCTGCTCTTCATGCTTCTTGTCAGTGTGTTTTTGTCCTAATTTGCTCTGGGTGAGATGCAGCTATTTATGCCATGTGCCCACTGAACAAATAGCTACTCAGTTCCCCTTGTTTCATTGTGGTTACAATTCTATGAATTGGGAAGCTCCACTTTATTACTTTCAGTGTTGATGGAGAACATAACTATTTTTCTGTGTGCTTTATTTACACTTTCTTTTCAAAAAGTTAGATTACTATTCTTTGTGTTCAGATATTTGCATCATTGGGTTCTCATTCTGTAATGCAAACCACTTATCATTACACCAGAATGCATTTTTTTTGGGTCGAAACTGTTTCAGTCAACTATTCTATTCCTTCCTTAAAAGCTGGATATTGTTTTATATTTCCTGAGAATGTAATACGAAATTTTATTTTCTCTTTTTGTGTTCTTCTATGTTCAGGTCATAGTTCAGAAAGTTGACACCAAATGTGAGATTGCTGGAGAGGAATATGGGCTGCATCATGATCATGACTACTCTGCTGGTCCAGATAAGACAGGTAGTTACATTCGTAATGTTCATTTGTAAATGATGTGTTTCAGACTGCTGTGTTGATGAAGAGGTTGGATACTTTCCTCTAGTTCTTTGAGCTTTGTTTTCTTTAGGATTGACCAGTATCAACTTCTTTTTCGTTACAGTCTAGTAAGAAAGTTTTATAGGTTATACACCACATTAGTAGAGGGTCAGGGAGGGATAGTTGTTCTGTATGGGGAAGGCCTGCCATGTCCTCTCTACATTGGTTCCCACCTGATGCTCAACTCTCACCTGGGGCTCCACGAAGCTGCAGCATGCGCAGCGGCCTCTCCCCGGTAACTGTTTTGGCATGCGGGCTGAACCAGGTAGAGGGTAGCTGGTGGGGTTTCGAACCCACTAGTGAGTAAATTAGGGTCTGTCTCCCTGTGCATGCGAATACTGGCTCCGGCGGACTGCGCGGACGAAACAACTCGATTGTTTAGCGGGCAGAAAGGCGGTCCCAGCAGAGCGTCGTGGAGCACGACAAGGGCACAGTGAGACAAGAAGACATTGCTGGTCATCCGCTGCATCCCGGCCCATCTCCGGCTGTCTCAATTTTGTCGTGCCACCGGAACTAGATGGACAGGGACAAGAGAGTTAGGCTGACGACTTTGTGCATCTCTCCCTCACTTAAATCAAATTCAAGCGTAAGTCAGGACTTCATCACATCACTCCACCCCCATCATCACCCTCATTACATCTCAAGTCCTGCAGTGATGGACGAGTGGCCAAGCGACAGGTGTGGATATTCTGGCAGTCGTAGTCACAACTCTACACGAAGGCGGTCCAGGCCTTGTGGTCTCTTTTCAGTGAATGAGACCGCATTGGAACTCAGTAGCCAGGGCGGCGAAGCAGCCCTCTCCAGGATAGCACTGTTTCCCCCCACAGCCTGGGGACGGGACTAGAACAGGTGTCCGAAAAATTGCCTGTCTCACCCTTTCCCTGGCCAGCATGCCGTGGCTGGCAGGGGTCCCACACCTGTGGTAAGAAGAACTCAAAGAAATCTAAGATGACCATCACCCTTAGCTCATGGAATGTGCGCTCCCTCCTTGACCGTTCAGGGAGTAATTGTCCCGGAAGACGGACGGCCCTCATTGCCAGCGAACTGAGCCGATATAAAGTACAGATAGCCGCCCTCAGTGAGACTTGCCTTGCTGAGGAAGGACAACTCACAGAGCAGTTTTCCGGCTACACGTTCTTTTGGATTGGTCAGGGACTCGACGAGCGCCGCGAGCAGGAGTTGGTTTTGCTATCAAGTCCTACCTGGTCAACAAGCTGGCAGCTCCCCCTAAGGGAATCAACGATCCCCTGATGACTGTCCGCCTCCTGCTCCCCAAGAAAAGATTCCCAACGCTGATCAGCACTTACGACGCCCCCCCTACTATGACCAACCCCGAGGACATTAAAGAAAAATTCTATGGGGACCTAAAGATTATCATCACAGTCGTACCCAGGGCAGACAAACTCATCATTCTTGGTGACCTCAATGCTCGAGTCGGCAGAGACCACAAGTCACGGGAGGGAGTGTTAGGGAAACACGGTGTTGGCAACTGCAACAGCAACGGACTCCTTCTGTAGAAAACCTGCGCTGCCCACGATCTCCTCATCACCAACACAGTCTCCCGCCTGCCTAATAGTAACAAGACGTCATGGATGCACCCACGCTCCAAGCACTGGCATCTACTCGACTACGTCATCATCAGGCAAAGAGACAGACAGGATGTGAGAGTCATAAAGACCATGTGCGGTGCAGAATGTTGGACGGACCATCGTCTTCTCATCTCTAAGATGAGCCTCAGAATCACACCACCCAAGGCATCGAAGTGGCCAAGCGATTGAATGTCTCCTAGCTGAAGAATGATTTTGTCAAACATGCGCTGGTAGAAGAGCTAGAGAGAAAACTACAACCGAGCGACATAGACCCGCATGCTGATGTGGAGACTGAGTGGGCATGTCTAGACATCATGGGCCCCACTACCCGCAAGCACAAAGATTGTTTCGACGACATCAGCTGTCACATCCAAACAATATTAGAGGAGAAGCATCGACTCCCCAGAGCACTCCTCAATGACCCCTCCTCCACCCCAAGGAAAGAACATTTCAATATGGCCAGGAGGAGAATCCTGCTTGAACTACGACGACTACAAGACATCTAGGCCTACTCAGACAGGAAGGGCATGAAGAACTTCTTCAGCGCTCTGAAGGCCGTCTACGGACCCACCTCGTCAGGGCAGTCACCTCTCCTCAGTGCAGACGGGGGGCACGCTGATAACAGACAGGAGAAAATTCTCGAGCGCTGGGCATAACACTTCAAAAGTGTCCTCCACAGACCATCATCCATCAACAATGAAGCCATTGAAAGACTACCACAAGTGCCAATTGACAACACTCTGGCAGACCCACCAACAGAGAAAGAAGTAGTGCTCGCCATCAAACGCCTGTCTAGTGGCAAAGCACTAGGTGCCGACTCCATTCCTGCTGAAATCTACGCTTCTGGAAGCCCAACACTAATAGAGAGACTAACAAGCCTGTTTACCTCCATGTGGTTACAAGAAAAGCTGCCACAGGAACTCAGAGACGCTTCGATTGTCCTCCTTCACAAGCTCAAAGGAAACAGAAACACCTGTGACAACCACCGAGGCGTTGCCCTGCTCTCCATCGCTTGGAAGATTCTGGCTCGCATCCTGCTCAATCGCCTCGTTGCACACCTGGCACGCCTGCTGTGAAGGGCTGTGGAAAATCATGGCCAAGTTCGGGTGCCCGGCAAAGTTCATCGTGATGGTCCAACAATTCCACGATGGCATGACAGCAAGAGTGAAGGACCAATGGCGTGTACTCCCAGCCCTTCCCCGTCACTAATGGAGTGAAGCCGGGCTGCGTGCTGGCCCTCGCACTGTCCAGCATGATATTCTCAGCTATGTTGACCGATGCCTACCACGACGGAGATATCGGTCTCGGTTTTCGTCACCGCACTGATGGAAAACTTTAACCTTCGGAGGCTGCAGGCGAAGAACAAAGTCCATGCAGGCATAGACTGCGATTTCCTCTTTGCGGACAACTGCGCGCTGAATGCCAGTACTCAGTCAGACATGCAGGGAAGCCTGGACAGTTTTTCCAAAGCGTGCGACAATTTCGGCCTTATTATTTCCTCAAAGAAGACTGAAGTACTGTACCAGCCAGACCCATCGACTCCGTACATAGAGCCCCAATTTACCATCTACGGCCAGAGACTGGCAGTGGCAGATAAGTTTGTTTATCTTTGCACCATCCTCTCTGGCTCGGTCAATATCGATGAGGAAGTGGCCTACAATACTGCCAGAACTAGTTCAGCCTTCGGCAGAGACTGAAAGACTGGGGAACTAAGAGGACTGAGCCTTAACACCAAGCTCCAAGTGTATAAAGCAGTTCTACCATCCCTGCTCTACGCCTGCGAAACGTGGACAGTCTACAACCGGCATGCCAAGCAGCTCAATGCCTTCCACATGAGATGCCTCAGGACCCTGCTTCGTATCAAGTGGCAAGACAGAGTCCCAGACCCTGAGGTACTACAGCGGGCCAAGATGGAGAGCATCTACACCACCTTACTGCGCTCTCAGCTCCAGTGGGCCGGCCACGTTCACCGCATGGATGACTCTCGCCTCCCGAAGAGGTTCCTCTATTGGTACTGACCCTAGGAAAACGTTCTCTCGCGGACAGAAAAAACGCTTCAAAGATGCTCTGAAAGCGTCCCTGAAGAGTTGCGACATTCTTCACACCACCTTGGAAGAAGCTGCTCGCGATTGCAGTTTGGCGCTCTTTAGTAAGATCAGGAGTCGCCACGTTCGGAGAAAGACACAGAAAGAAAGAATGGAGATGGCAACTGAGAAAAGACGAGAGACCCCTACCTCCCAGTCTAGTTCATCCCCAAACATCCCCTGCCCCCACGTCAACAGACATTTCTGAGCGAAGATCGGCCTGATCAGCCATCTCGGCACACACCCCACCCCTACAGTGATGTGAAGTCAAGATCGTCTTCACCAGCGAAGGAAGAACATCACATTATTACCCTGGTTCGAAAACTTAAGCGTTTCCCCGTATATACAAATATTTTGTATGCCATCAAAATTTGGTTGCCTTTGTGGGAAATTCATTGAATGATAACAGTGTAAGATTTCCCTCTTGCAAAGGTGTATGGATATGGGTTTAACATTTATTAAGTCATTAACACGTTTTCAGTATGGTTATTAAGTTGACAATTTGTATTGTTGAGTCTATAGGATGTTGTGTTTGCCATTGGGTATATCAGTTTTTGCCTCAGGCTACAAGCATTCTTGAAACAAGTCAAATTTCTTAAACTAATGAAACCATTATTTAAGCTTTCTACATGCGTTGCAATCTCACATACTTAATTTCAACTAAGTTGTGTTTTTTTCCTCTCATCTCAGTTTCAGAGAAGACTATTGTGGTCCGTCAAGGGGTTGGCTCTATTGTGCTTCAAAAGGAGATTGTGAGTGCTCCCGAACCTGATAACTCCACCAAAAACCTGTTCATCTCCAACCTGGACCAGCTGGCTTCAGCTGCGATGAGTTCTGCCGGTCTCGAGGCAGGCACTGTACATGAAGTCGAGGTGTCCAGCTCCAACAGGAAAGTGAGGCAGCAGAAAGCAAGGAAACATCGTGTAGAGTCGGAGGACCTGTCCAAAAAGTCTGATTTCAGCCTGAAGCGGCTGTTGACAGGGGGCAAAGGACGGGAGGAGGGCCAAGGCAGTGAGCATGGGCCAGTGACGCGAAAAAGAAAAGCTTCCACGTCATTTGAAATGAACTCGGAGGAACGCAGTGAACAGTTTCAAGTGCGTGCTGCTAAGAATAGGCGCCGCAAGTTGTCTGAGCCTACTTCTCCGGCAAAGAGTAGCCGCAGTGAAGCAGTCAAAGCAAGTGGTCTTAGTCCCCCCTCTCCTCGCATGACACGTCAGAGGAGTGAACGGAGCAGCTCTCCTAAAATCCGGGGTCGTAAAACGCGAAGAGGGAAAAAGGAGGAAGATGAGAAGTCTGAATCTACAGAGCCTCTGATGTCATCGTGTTTGCTTTTACTGGAAGCAGCGACTAGGCTGGACAATGCAGAGAAGGGCAGCAACTCTTCATTGCGTTCCTCTGGTTCGGGAGAGACTAACATTAGTCTCAGTAATATGGAAGTTTGTGAGGAGAGTGTGGTGGAGACCACTGTGGAGTCAGAGGTCCCACTCTCTGACCATAATGTTGCTCAAGAGGTAGACATCACAGACATAAAGTTAGAGCCTACTGAAGTTGAGAAGTCTGGTGATGAAACAAAAGATGAAACTGATGATGCAGGCTTAACTGAGGCTCCTCATTCAAGTTCTCCTGGGATTTTGAGAAGCACTCTGGAAACTATTGGCACGGAACTTAAAGCAGATGATATGAGACCTCGTACAAGAAGTGGAAAAAGTTTTCTGGACAGTTATTCCATGAGCGTATCTGAAGGAAAAATAGTTGTTGTGAAGGATTCAGAGGCTAAGGGATTGTTTAGCGGCTCAAGCATTCAATCGGAGCCGAATGTCTCCAGTGAATATAAGAGAAGAGGCAGAGGTCGGGGTCGAGGGAGGTCATCCCGTGGTAAATATTTTGTGGACATCCGGACTAACAGCGGCCCAGCCTTGACATTGATGAATAATGGTGATGAGCGCAATCCAGATGAGGTCACTATGGAGTCTGTCACAACTGATGGAGACGTTGGGAAAACAGAATATCTGGAAGAAATGGAGGTGCCTCAAGTGGCAAATTTTGCCACAGTCAAGTCTAACAGTGGTGTCCAACAGACGGTGATCCAACGCGCTCTGCCAGTGCTCAGTGCACCTGTCCAGAAGTCTGGCAGCTCTGCGACAGAGTTTTCTGCTCCTGTTGTTATTGCGCATAAAGTGAGCGGCTTAGCAGGGACTCCTCAGATTCTTATGACCTCCACGGCAGTCAACCCCCAGCCCTCTGGTCGACCTGTAGTGGCGTCGCAGAAGCTCGTAGCAGCGGTGGCCAACAAGACACAGTCTACTCTCTTACCAGCACAGCTGCTGAGCAAAGGGTTGAAGAACCAATCATTGATGCCTGGGAGCACTCTACCGTCTGTGACGAAACTTGCTGGTAGTCAGACAGTCGGGTCTGTTCTCCCCGTGGCCCTGGGCAGTTCGATGCATGTCACATCCGCCCCTTCTCCCACTTCTCCTATAATAGCAAACATCAGTGCAGTGTCTATGAGTCCAGGGTCTGGCGAGAACCCCCAGCTGCTGTCTCTTCCTTCATCCTCCATTTCTAGCTTGATGAACATCAAAGCAGCAGCCACCGTGGGGCCTCGGACTATCATCTTGACCAGACCTCCAAAGACGTCGGTCGTGACGACCTCAGCAGCAGTCACAACCACAGCGACAGCTGCTGCCCAGAAAAAAGAAGTTGCGACGCTAGAACAAGGCAAAGAGGTCCAGAATGAGGTGAAGCTCCATGTGTTGCCTGTCAAGCCTACAACGCAGCTCCCAAACCACTCCCATCCGTCTGTTCAAGCAGAGAATGCTCTCATATCGCAGCTTCAGGCTCATGTCACATCTGCCATTCAGCGTGAGAGTGAGAATCCGGCTCAGGGTGTCTCTGGCCAGACAACGCCAACACAAGCTGTCAATGTTACAGCGCAGATAATTTTTGACCCTATCAAAGGACCAATGCTGAAGTTCCCCATTGGGCCTCCTCTGCCGCTTCATTCCAGCATCTTTCAGCCACAGAATTTCGCCAGTCAGGCTCAAGCCACTTCTAGAACAGCCACGGGGGGTGCTGATAGCACTGTTGTGAGCTCCCCCGCTCTGAACTCATCAACAACGCTGGTAAACTGTGCAGACAGGAAACCCACTGTCCCTGTTGTTCTGGGAACTAAAGTGTTTGTTGACAATCCTTCGTCTCCCCCAAACAGTGAGGCAGGGAGCAGCAGCAGCAGCACAGCCACTCCCACTTCAGTGTCTCTTCTGAGATCTCAAGTGGAGACCTCGAAAAACTCGACTGTAGAAAGTAAGCCTGATGCTGTGACTACTTTGTCCATAACTAAGAGTGCACCTATCTCCAGCTCTGGAGAGTCCCATGTACAACAAGGAACAGTGAGCATTTTACCTTTTGGCAAAATGACAAGCAAGTTTTACCCTTTGAAAGCTTTGCAGAATCCTGTGTCTCTTCTCCACAAACACCAACAGGGAGCTGCGGGAGCGAATTCCTCTATTGTCATGGACTTTCAGCAAGCCCTGTTGGCCCACCGCTTGGCTATGCCAGACGGTTCTGAAGCAACAGTTGCGGAGACAGTGCTCAGTGCGGGCAGCTACTCATCGGTTTGCCAGGAGGACTCTGGTGAGGTCAAGCCACTAGCGGAATTGTGCAAAAGCTTACTGGCTCAATTTTTCAAATCTCTGGATAATCAAACATCGGAGTCTGAAGCTAGTGGTTCGTCTTTCAGCTCTCCCTGTGTGGATGTGAAACAAGATCCCGCTGTTGTCCAGAAGCAACAAGAATCTCAGCAGGAACCCGTCCTTTCAGATCTCAAGGGAGTTAACTGCACTGAATCTGCTCAGGTAAGCAGACTGGGATCTACTGTGGCATCAAATCTGAAGGAGGAAGTTGAACTGACTTTGACTGACAACAACGAGTGTATCATGGCATCATCCAGCGCCATTGCTGGTCCTGCTGACTCGGAGGCTTGTAGTCAACAGGATAGTGTGATGACTGAAGTTGGAGATGAGGAGTCGAAGAGGATAAAATACGATTCTAATATTGTGATGGACCCCACAGCTCCCCTGTCCTTGGGGGAAGTTCCTTTGTTCGCTAGTGGCAAAGGAGATTCAGACTCCATGAGCCCGACCAGTGATGGTGGAACGTAGCAAGATTTGTGTGTTTGTGATGACCTGCTTTGATGAGCTTTTTTTGTGGCTCTTAATGATATGTACACTAGTTCATAGATGTGTAGTGGCGTCAGTAGTCTAGTGGTTAGGCTACCGGACTTATAATTGTGAGGTTGCAGATTCGGGAGTTCGAGCCTAAGGCCCGATGTACAGTTGTGTCCTTTACACGCATTTTCCTCACTTCACCCAGGTGTGAATGGTTACCTGGCCATAAACAGCGAAAGATCTTGTCAGTACGCCTATAAAACGGCAGTTTACACTTTATGCTTCCCAGGAAGTTGAGATTGTTTCAGATGCCATCTGGTCTGCAGGGGTATGATATAGATTGTAAAGCACATAGAGAGCGTACTGTTGAGCTATTTGCGCAAAAAATTGCTATCTTTTACTATTAGTACTGTTGTTGTTCCCTCAAAGATACTGGAATAATGGAAAATGTTTTTTGTTTTTCTTCTGTTTCTCGAGTATTCTTGGGTAATGAAGACTCAGTGTTATTTATAGAGATCACAGTTTATATCTTGATGTGCTTTTAATGCTGTTATGTGTTGTTTCCTTTGCATATGCTCTCCTGCCCATGATTCTTTTGTTTAATGACCTGCTCAAGAGACTGAGAGCATCAGCTTTCACTGTCATTTTCTCCATTTCCTTACAAGCTCTCAAGACACAACTAATTGTAAATCAGAACTGGTCTGTTTTCCTTTACAGTAATACATGTATATGTCATAAATTGTTTAGATCTATAGGTATCTCTTGTTCTTGTAATCTGTAAGATAATAAAGGGGGCCTGAGATGAAGAATTATCACTGTTTTACCCAATTTTGAGAAGCACAGTTGCTTTATAGTGAACATTTGTGCTCCCTAAAAAATAAATAAGGCTTGAAATGAAAAAAATTATTAACCTTCAGCCCAATTCAGTGAAGTTAAGTTTATTTCTAATGAATACTACTGAAAATATATCGGTTGCTTCATGTGTCAGTATGAAATCCAGTGGCATCTCTAGCTTAGCTTCATGCACATTTATTCAAAAGAAAGCTGCCCGGCTGCCGGACAAAAAGTTATTACACCCCAACCCTATGTGCATGTAAATAATATGGTTTCCTCATACAGCTGATTTTTACCTCCTTTTTCCACTATGGGTTATTGGACAGCAAGCAACAGTAGCATTGCTACTCCTGTTTCCAATCTAGCTTCTTTTTGTAACCGCATTGCTTCTGTGCTCATCTTAAATTATATTATCAAAGCCTCACTGCCGACAGTGTGTTTGGTAATTGCTCTTTTTTAAGTCGCAGGTTTTTTTTATGACAACACTCTGAATTCCAGGCAAAGCTAGACTCTATTTTCCACTTGTGCAACGCGTCAGCTAGGTAAGATAAGTTCGATTATGATATTGGACTATTTCCTGTTGTTTTCTTTTTGCAAGATCGAGTATAAAAGTTAATAAAGTTAGGAAGGTTAAAAAAGCTCTTACAAAACCCAGAAGGCCCTATCTTAAGAGGTTAGCTATTCACACATGTCAAACTTGTCAAAATAAAAAAATGGGTCAGATGATAAGTATGAGGTATTGAAAAATTTCATCTTTGTACTATGTAATGCCTCTCCTTTTTTTTTTCATGTCAGTTTTGTTTGACTCATGTTCAGAATATCGACACTTTCATTTGATAATTGTTTAACACTTACAGCTGAAGCCATGGGAGAACTAAAGATGTTAAAAAAAACCTTCACAGCTCAAGAAACGCGCTAAAAAAATTTGAAGCGTTACTTCAACGAAAGTCGCCAGCAGTACTGAACTGAAATTACAGGCCGGTGACTAAAGTTGCCATCGGTACTGTAGGTTTTTAATTAAGTCATTTTTTGGCGTTTTGAGGAAACACCAACTGTTGCATTCACAAAACAATCTTAGCACATAGTTTTTTCTGAATATTTTTTTAGTTTTATTAAAATTCAAAGCCTAAAACAACTTATGATGTTGTTGTTGTTGTTATCGATCCAGCAACAGCTGGGTTCTCGCCCTTCTGTCCAATGCCATGTAGGTCTAGTGATAAGTGCAGGTTTGCCGTAATGTTCCATAGAGTATGTTGTCAATGTTAGGTCTCGGAGGGAGAAGTGTGGCTCTGATGTCATTTAGAGCTGTACAGTGGAAAAGGTGATGGTCCACAGTCTCATATGCGTAGTTACACAAAGGACACATTGGGGGAAGATCTGGTTATATTCTGTTCCAGTGAAAGTTGAGCTGTATATGTTCTGTTTGTAGGCGAATATCGTTGTCTGTTTCTTTCTCTATAGATGGTTGATATTGTCATTTCATTTTGTTATGGTCATATGTTGAAAACTGCTCTGCCTGTCTTTCCCAAGGCCCATCTGTTCATCCAATCTTGTGTGTTGCTGTTTTTAATGATTTGTTTTGCTGTGTTGGTATGAAGTTGGAATGTTGGGTTGTTTCTGTCTAGATCCCCTTTTGGCGAGTGTGTCTGCTCTGTCATTTCCAGGAATGTTTGAGTGTCCGGGAATCCACTGCATCACCAGGTTGACGCCACAGGAAGTTATCAGGTGATGGGAGCCGAACAGTATATGTGTCAAGTCTTCGTTTAGATGATGGTCATTTTCTATCGCCCGCAAGACTGATAAAGAGTTAGTGAAAATCACTATACAGTGGGTATCGCCTTCAACGAGGTTGCTGGGACGGGCTTGTTGTCCTCGTTGGATCCAACCTCTCGTTAAATGTGACTAAGGCTAAAGACAAGAAAGGAGACAAGTTATTATATTACAAGATGTACCAATACCAGTAATTAAAACAGTTGTTCCCCCTGATGACGAAAATCTCAAACAGCATCAGTGTGCGCGTGTTTGGGCTGTGTTCTGACCATCGTTTCTGCATTTTAAAAATATAAATTTTCTGAACCTTTCTCAAGTAAAGACGGGAGCTTGGATTTTCTGATCAGGGGAAGAAAAGAAAATTGAAAAAAATGGTCTTGATCTAGACCTACCCATCCAGAGTTCTTCCTGTTTCACACAGTCCGCATGGCGTTCCCGCCCACCCCTTCTTGTCTCTACCATAGGCTAACCCTCGCCCATCCTCTTGGCTTGGAGCACATTATATTAGTATTAGGATGCACACTAGATAGCAATACAATGCATTGGGAATGTAGGATGGGCCTAGTGCTTCGCATGAGATGGAGAGAACGGAGAAAAATTCTTCGCTTTTGAGGCCGCTAATTGCTTTTAATTGGTTATCGCGACCTCGTTGAAAGCGACTTTAGACTGTTTGCAACCTCGTTGGAGCTGACGTACATTTACAAAGAGATGTGGAGGAATAATCGGGGGATTAAGGATTGCCTCGTTGGAGCCAACTTCTTGTTGAATGTGACCTCATTGAATGCGACACTCACTGTACTATGTGTTTTGTTTGGATGAGTGTCAAAAACTGCGCTGAGATGTTATAGTGCTGTTTCAATTGCTATCATTTTTGCATCATAGTTGTTGCATTTCTTTCCACAGGCTGCAAAGATCTCATTGGAACTTCCATCTGGGTACTGTATTAGTATTTCATATCCAGCTTTGGTTGTGCCTTTGAATGCTGAGCCGTCTGTATAGACGTGTATCCAGTCATTTGAATTACTGTCGATTGTTTGATGTGATGCAAGCATCAATGTCACTGGGTCTGAAGATTTTGTGGTATTGTCTCCGAGAGATGTTGTTATGATTGGTTTTTGCGTAGAAATGCGGGGAGGGATGGTTTGGTTGACTCTTTTGGTTTCTCTTCTGTTTTGTGGTAGATTGTGACTCTCCATTAGTTCTGTGATGCGATGCATTATTGATTTTTGTTGAAGTCCTTTCTTTGGTTTCCATGTTTCTACTAATATTTCCTGTTTGTGTGGTTTGGGCACATTCTTTTGGTTCTTTCATGGAACTCCAAAACTGCTTTATCTCTGCGAATTCCCAGGGGTTCAACATTTAAAAGAATTTCACATGCGGCAGTAGGTGTAGATCTCATGCCAATATTTATGAAACGAAGGGCATTATTTTGGACCTTGTCAAGGGTATTGCAAGTAGTTGTGCTACATATAGTGAGTAAAGAACTTTTGATTAAAAAAATATTGTATGATGTAGTTATAGCCTGTCTAACTAATGCAAAAATGAATGCATTTTAATGACGTAGGCAAGCCTATTCCCATGAAATAGGCATTGTTAGTAAAAACAAAATGAGACTTTGGCAGTTTTTGTGCTGTGAAAAATCCTCTTGGATTGGTCAATGTTGATGAAACATATTAATTTAAGTGTTTTACTACTTTTACAGTTCACATAGAAATATTCTGGTTTTTTAATATATCAGCTCTACAAACAATGAACAGTCTAAATGTTAGAAGAATAAAACTTGGTTTAGACTTGGGCACAAACATGAGGCCTCGTACATGAAGCATCCGCATAGTAGACATAAAACCATGAAACATACATGGACATGTACACGCACACACCAATTTGCACTCAAATGAAGTTAGCACCTGTAGTTTAACAATCTTCTTCTGCTCTCATATATTCGCCATCAGTTGGGTCGCTTCTGACAGATGACAACTAATCTCCCTAATCTCCTCCACTCCTCCTGGCTCAGGTGGCATAGTTAGCATAGTGGTCAGGCTGCCAGGCTTGTAATCGTGAGATTGTTTTTTATTGTGGGTTCAAAGTTTTGAGCCTCAGCTCCATCTGACATTGTGTCCTTGGGAAAGGCACTTTACTAAAATTTCCCATTTGACTTGGTCATTTCGGAGATGGATGTTGAACTCGGAGGTCCCGCCTCTAAAATAACCGAATAGTGTTGACAGGGACGTTGAACCTACACCATTTTCATACACTGGAGGCTCTCGAGACACAGTCGCTTTGGGATGTTTTTCTTCCACGTATCAGGTTTTATTCTTCTGTTTTTCAAATTGATTTTTCAACCTGATGGAATCTTAACCAAAGTGTTCCAGATCACCTAACACAGTTTGTTGGATTATCTCTTCTTTGTCTTCTGCTTTTGTCTCAGATTCAGAGCTGCTACTTGGCACATAGGGCTCGTTTTGTGAGTCATTTTTCATTTCAACTTTCTTAATTACTTTGAGAACATGTTGAATGACCTTGACATGGTGGTTCATACCTCATTTCCCCATTTAACCCCCTGGGGCGGTGCTACTGACTGAAGTGTCTTTAGGCCATTCCCAAAGGGGGGACGTTAATGTGTTCTTATGCTCAGTAGAATTGTAAATGGGCTGATTTATCAATGTCATGCTCATACTGTGCCTGAACTGCAGCGGGGAACTGCTGCTTTTTTTTCCCTACTCCTTACTATTGTCATTTTTCCTCCACTTCTTTTGTGTGTTTGTCACTCTCTTGTGACCCGCTATTTCCTGGGTGCCTTGATAGTCGAAGTAGACTTTGTGCTGTTGAAGCTAGAGAGGTTAGCAGAGTAAGCCTGAGTCCCTATAAGGACTTTTCTGTTGACATCCACCACTTATATGACCTTCTTGTGTTGCAAGTGCTGTAAAACTCCTACTAAAACTAAACCACTCGGCGCTCATATGACCTTATGCAGTTTCGAGCGTCGTAAAATCCTACCGAAACCAAACCATTTCCCCATCTAGTATGAAGCCATCAACTTCAATACAATGTAGCATATGTTTCCTCTTTTTGATCATCTCTGCTCATCAAAGTTTTTCCTTGCATTTCTAGATCTATTCTCTCGGCATCTGTCTGCTCAGAGGTCTTGTTACTGTAATCTGCAGAAACAAATGAGTATTCAGTAAAAATGTGTTTGTGGTTCGTTGGGTGGTGCTCTGTGTTTGTCACTCTCTTGTGACCCGCTATTTCTTTCTACTTCATCTTATGTGTTACTTTTATCCGTATCTTTAACCTGCTACTGCAAAGACCTTACCACGTTATTAGTACTGTAAACCTCAACTGATCCATAGTGTGTTTGTGTAATACATGTAGTCCAATGTTGATAAAACATGGCCTGATACATGCCTCCTATTTACCAACAAGCATTTCAAGTGGGCCTACATGGTTTCAGGAAATTTCTGGTAAAAGCCTTTAAATTGGAATGAATGCTGATGAGCAAAAGATCTCTTTGTGAGAGTCCATGAACAATATGAACCAAACTAGAAATGATTTTGTATGCTTGAGAGACCATGGTTAGAGCAAAAAAAAAGCATTCACCAAGCCATTCGAATCAGAAAATAACCTCGAGAACAAAATGCCTAAATCATCAAAAGTCCTGAATGGAGGTCTGGAATGGCATTGTCGCAGAATCTCTATAAGGACTCTGGGCAAAAATGCAAATAAGAAATAGACATTACTTGTAAAGATGGATTACAAATCTCACACTTATGCAGTTTTTAAACACATTGATGTTTTATATTTCTTCATTACCTTCAGACTGAGACTGATCCATCAATGCCATGAGCAGACAAAGAAGGGCGTCTGAAGCACCCATGTGTGCTTTGCTAGACGCAGCCATCTTGGATTGCCTAAGTCAGTCCTTTGACGTAATGTGAAACAGTCTTTGGCAATCAAGCAGTTAAAAGTGATAAATTATCCTAAGGAACGTTACAGATATCCAGGGAACAAATAAAATTATCCATATGTGGCCATAGCTCAGTTTGCCCCCCAAAAAGACTTAAGCAATTATCGAATGAGTGTGATGATATTGAAATATGCTCCTTCTGAATCAGTGGTACAAGGTACATGCTCTCATAGTCCTTTCAGTAATAAGTTTTCATCAATGGCTAGATCAAAAGGAATTGTCTCTGTGTAGTTTGATGTCAAAGTTACTTTTTAATTGACTTTATTGTGTGGGATTTGCGAGTGGGCTTGGAAAGATCACTTAGAATACAGGTTCCAGAATACCATTGAATTGTCATTTACTTCTATAAAGCTTCTTTTTGTTTGTTATATTTTGTGTTTGAAAGATTCAGAGCAGT